CATTGTGTTAAACAAATATTATTTGAACAGTATTATTCTTAATATTCATTGAATTACTGAGAACAAAAGTTTAGTGATAATAAAGTTTATTAAACCAATTTATTCGAAATTATTTTAGACAATGTTATTGTTCGTAAAATATTAATACAGTTGTCTAATATTTTCTTCGACTACAATTTACAAAATGTGTTTATTTTAAAATCAGTGGCTGCTTATTTTAAAATAAGTGTATGTTTACTTCAAAAATAGATTGCATAAAAATATGATTTTATAAATAAAAACTGAAGATAATAGAGTGGTTGATAATTTTGAAGTTCTCCAGCAGTTCTTCGAAACGAACTTCGAGTGGTTAAAAAATAGCGCCACTTGAACTCCACATGAAAAGTCTTGGTACGTAAAAATACAAGGGTTGAAAATAATCCACCTCGAGAACAAAGATTTAAAAATAATCCAAAAATTGTTGACAAACGTGTCTCAAAAAAATGCCAGAAAATTAGAAAAAGCAATAATTAATTCGTGTTTATTCGCTCATTTTTATCGCATAGTTACAGATACATTATCGTAGTTTATTTCGGGTCGGTTATTTATCAATTTTCCCCTTCTACACTTCAAGTTAATCCATTTTTAGATTAAGGAGAAAACACGTTAAGAAAGGGAGATATTTTGATTGAAATTCTTTATGAAAATTTATGGATACATTTTCGTATCCGTCTCTCGCAAAGAGCAGCAACTCTATTTAACCGCGTGCAAAAAAAGAGAAACAGAGGAAGGACATAGAAACACACCCTTTGAAAAAGAAAACCGCAATTTCGCCTGAACCGTCTCTGTATACACGCGTTTACTCTTTACGGGAGAAGCGGCTTTGCCTTCTTTTCCCTTATGTACGAGGCACATATACGTTGTTGTACCTGAATACTTCTGAAAGCCAGTGTACATACAGGGTGATCCAGCAAGAAACCAAAAGTACACTTTCGCTCGAAAACGACACGTACTAAAATTACAGTCGTAAAACCACAACATAATTCACTGTGGGACTCGTAACACATTTACCATGTATTGTATGTAAGACATGAACAAATTTTATGAGGGTGACATGAGAAAGAAATTGAGGAAATATAATAGTGTAGTAAGGGGGAATGATTTTTGGGAATTTTGGGATTTGACAATTTGGGGAGTTAAGAAGTTGGGGTTCGTTAGATTTGAGGATTTGTGGAGGTGGGAATTTAGGAATTTGGCAGGGTGGAAATTTGGGGAGTTGAGAATTTGGGGTTCGTTAGATTTGAGAATTTATGGATGTGGGAATTTAGGAATTTAGCAGGGTAGAAATTTGGGGAGTTGAGAATTTGGGGTTCGTTAGATTTCAGGATTTAAGGATATGGGAATTTAGGAATTTGGCAAGGTACAAATTTGGGGAGTTGAGAATAAAGGGTTCTTCAGATTTGAGGATTTATGGATGTGGGAATTTAGGAATTTGGCAGGGTGGAAATTTGGGGAGTTAAGAATTTGGGGTTTGTCAAATTTGAGGATTTGAGGATATGGGAATTTAGAAATTTAGCAGTGTAGAAATTTAGTCATCTGAGAATTTGGGGTTCGTCAGATTTGAGGATTCAAGGATATGGGAATTTAGAAATTTAGCAGTGTAGAAATTTAGTCATCTGAGAATTTGGGATTCGTCAGATTTGAGGATATGTGGATATGGGAATCCACATATAATTATCAATCCACACATAATTATCAATGCTAGGAAACCTACAGAATATTACGAACCCATTAAATAAACAAACATATAAATTCTACGTCAAAAAATTTAGCGTAGTTCACATCACAAGGTTAAAAACCTCCGAATTTTTTTTACGAGTGTTTCCCGTAACGAGAACCCAAAACCAGCTTGAAACACCTGTCTACCTGCATCAGCAGATGGATTCGTCGAAAACGGTGTTTACCCAAGATGCTCTCGAGATGTTTCGAGTTCTTCAAGCAGTTCGAGAAGAAAATTTTCCAGCAAGAAAATCATAAATCACAGACCAAAAAATATCTATTACATATCTTTACCGATCTTTACCTTTACATATCTTTACTTAGTATTAGTACTAACCCAGTACTATCCTGAATTTCGATCCCTAAATCAATAAATTATACGTTTCGAGTGTCGTTAGGGGCGGTTTGTGTCGTCGGTAGGTAATTAACACGTTCCATTAGTTCTCTGGTTCAATTTTCATTAGTCGCCCGACAGTTTGGTTCAATACCTTTCTTGTGTCTTCGAAGATGGGAGCGGCTGGTGCTTGCTTCAATTAATTAGAGCCCATGACAGGCTTCTGTGGTTTTATTTCTTGAAATCTCCCTTTTTGTACTGTTTAGTCAGGGTATTTTAGGGCTCAAATTAGAAGACAGTCTAATTTCGCTAATTCGTTCTACTCGTGCAAGAACGAATGTAATTTTGTTCTTGGATGTGTTACTGTGTGGACATTTGAGCTTTCTAGTTAGCGGTGCGATATTTCCACCCTTATTTTGAATGTAATTTAATTAACAAGTAGAGAAATTGTAAAGTTTCAAGTCTGGAAAATAAAGAAATTTAAATTGAAAATGGTAGAAATTCAGAAATAGAAAAATTGTAAAATTTCAAGTCCAGAAAATAAAGAAATTTAATTAAAAAATGATAGAAGTGCAGAAATATATGTTTTCGAAATTTTCAAATTCGAAGATGTAGAAACTTCGAAATTAAACACAAAAATATGTAGATTTCAAATTAAAAAATTGAGAGACTATTTACGAACAGAAAATGAAAATTTCACAGTCGATAACCGAAAAGAATATCGAAAAATATATTCATCTCTTCACCGGCGACGATCAGCGGTTTGTAGTTCTTCAGGGTTGCGTGAAGAATCATCAATCACGGGAGCGTCAATTATTCCCAGGCGATCATAACGTTGCATGAAAGAAACTTGGAAAAAATTGTCTATAATATCGATGACGCAGTTGCCGGAGGTACAAGTGGATAAGAAGTTTGCTATCGGGTAACGTGATCGATCGAAGCGGCGACGTATCCTGTGACAAAAGCAATTAGAACTTCTTAGACGACATTGCTATGCGTGGACACGCTCGATAAACCGTCGCGTACAACACGTGCTCGTGCGTGAAGATCTCGTCAATGGACATTGATGAAATCGGTGAATCTCATGCGATACTAATCTCTTTATTTTGTTTGTGTAATTAGTCTTTTTTGTTTGAGTAATTGTTTGTGTAATCCTCATTACAATAATGGGGCAGGGTACAAATGACATGTGTAGGATTGTAGTATTATTTTACTCCTTACTGTTCCGCTATTTTATTTATAATGCACCGTTTTATAGTAGTACATTAGTATCTTAAACAAAAATTTAAATAATATGTGTAGGATTGTAGTATTATTTTACTCCTTACTGTTCCGCCATTTTATTTATAATGCACCATTTTATAGTAGTACATCAGTATCTTAAAAACATTTTTAAAATATGACTTACCATTTTATTCTACGGTCTAGGATTTACGTATACTTTTACCATTCACAGTAAGGGAAGAAAGTCACTATAGTAAGACCCCCCACTGACTGACTCATACAAGTTCACAAACGGTGCGAGATACAACATTTTTCCATGGAATCGACTCCCTCTAAAATCACCTGAGACCCTCAGGAAAATTGTCAAACCTTTAACATTTGCATTCTGAGTCGGTAGAATTGTAGATGTGGTGCCGAAGGCGACGCAAGGATGATCCGAGAGCAAAGTGACGTACAATTCCATACTGAACATATTCATGTTCATACCTATTCATCCTCATATAGAAACCTATTAAAATATTATCACATTAACAAGCTTAAACTCCTAGCACAATTCCACACTTAAATTTCCTTTAATAATTAAACCCCTTACTCTGAACATCCTCTCCACCAATCACCGTCCAATCTGAACGTTTTTTGATCGAACGTCACCGTAACAAGTTAAATCCAAGTTGTAGCCTCTATCCCGATAAATCGATAATGATGGATAGAGGTGAAAATGAAGTTCGTAGAAAAATTTCAAAGGGTAGGTTCAAACGAAGCGATCGTTCAACGAGTCATGAATGAACACATGTTACGTGTATCGATCTGTGCGGCCGAACGAGTTGTTGTACGCGTTTGAATAAAGTTAAGGCGAGCGGTCGTTTAGTATGGATTTGTTGCCTTATACGATTACGTATGCACGCTGAGTTGAATGTTATAAGCGTTATGACTCGTGACTGTCATAAGATGTTTCATCGTGCATGGCTTCCCTCGTATCTTGTCTCTTTTTTTCGCCCTCGTGCTTCTTTACTTGTTTCGAATAATCGTATCGATCTTCCGTCGTCTCGCGTTACTTCTTTTCTTTGTTGTCTGTCGTTGCTTCTTTTCCTTGTTGTCTGTCGTTGCTTCTTTTCCTTGTTGTCTGTCGTTCTCTTGGTTTGTCGCTTCTTCTTTTATTCTCTTAGCTGTTATTGCTTGTTATCTTCATCTGTTCTTATTCTGCTCCTTGCTTCTATCTCTTTATCTGTCTTTGCTTGTTCGCTTCATCTGTCTTTGCTCCTCCTCTTCGACGTGTGTCGGTCTTCTCTTCGCCATCTGTCGTTGCTTCTTTTCTTCGATGTGTATCCTTGCTTATGTTCTTCGATGTCTATCCTTACTTCATCTCTTCACCATCGAAAGTCTATGGACAATCGTACTCATCCACAAAAATATCTACAATAAATACATTCTTAATTTTCACTCATTTGATTGGACCGCGTCAAATACATGTTAGAGTACAATTGGTGGGAATTTTGAATATTAGCGCAACACTTCAGTATTCCACTCTTATGAAACATAGAAACTTTGCAATTTTAGAACTTTTGAACTGGAAAAAGGATTGAACTGAAGCTGATAGTAGGATTTTGAGATTTGTTACATTTTTGAATTACAGTCGATAACAAATATTTTGTATTGTAATTAACTTTTGTTTCTTCTGTTTCAGAGCTGGAACTCGGAACACAGTTAGTCGTCGAAATGAGCGGGCAGCAAACCATCTTGCAGCATCCCGTCACGATGGACAAAATGGAACGGTAAGTGATTCTCCCGTCTTCACTAAATTTTCTCATCGAGCTCTAACTTCATCCGACGTTTGATCCCTAATTAAACTTTTACGATCTGTGGGATTACTTGCGGTCGAATTTGGTCTCGATAAGATAGAAAACGACTTTTTTTAATCGCTTAACTTCGATCTTATCTTTTGATTAATCTACTTCCTCAATTATGGACACTAATTTAAAAGAAACATAAGTCTTTGAATATTAGTATAAACGTTCACTTTGAAAATTCTAGTCTTGTGTTAATTAAATACTTCAAGTTGTAGTTGTACACACTTATTTAAAAGTGCACCTTTTCGAACATCCCCTACTTTGAAAACATGGGAAACATTTTTACGTTTTCATAATTGAAAAAATATTCGAAGGAGCACATTTAAATAAAATACACAGTACAACCATTGTATCACACAGAAGGTATTTGCATCTGATGCACAATGTCATTGAATTTCTAACAGTAAACCTACCAGAATGTGTACTTTGAAAATAATACTTGAGAAGTAGATCAAAAAACATTCATACACAAATCATGACGCAGATCAATAGAGATTCCAAGACACCCTTACTAAATTTCGTGACGTAAATAAAAAACCTGTACAAGGACTATTCAGGGTCAAGGGAGGCTAGTAAAGTAGTCATATCTCATCTTCGAAGGGGTCGTTTTCGGGTAGGAGTCTTCGACCCTTCAGTCTATTTTGAATCTCACGCAAAAAAAGTCTTTTTAAACTGACTAAATTATCTCGAGGGTCCTAGCTATCCCCCAGTTAACATCCGGCCCAGACATCATCTCTCTCAAAAATGGAAGAGAAGAATGTTTATGACTCACCGTCGTATCAAAAAACGCGTACACAGCGATAAAGCAATAATCTCGCGCGAAAATTTCGCGTACAGAGATTATACGTATCGTTGTAAAAGGCAACGGCATCGTTGAACAATACGTTGTTCATCGTCGAAACGGTGCCACCGGCTCCCACGCGTCAACGCGTAGATAGCGTCAGCCCTTGTTTTCCCGAAAGTTTGCAATGACACGTCCTCGAACGATTTCCCATATCACCGGGACAAAAGTGCATTTCGAAAGAGCTTGGAGTGCTGGCAACGTTCACGAAGGAAACGGTGACGTCGGAGATCGATACACTTCTCGCTGGGACTCTGTTAACGTGGTCGGGTGTAAGGGTGTCTTGGTTCCTTTGCTCGGGGTGGGAACATTTTAGCCGAGAAGAGAGGGAGAGAGACCGAGAGAGGCTTTGTTTCATCCCCTTGTCGAACTTGGACGAACGGTTATTGCATAATTGAACGATTCTCGGGGAGGCCATTCACACGGGATGCATTGCACTATTGTGTCACTGCTCGTCGAAATTATTCAACGAGTATGCACGCTTTGGAATAATAATTTGCAGAACTGCATACGGGATAGCGCCGTTCGAGATAGAAATAGGACTTGTGGACACTGGGATGGACTTCTTATCACGGTACTTTAGTATCTAGGGATTGTTATATCACAACTTAGGAATTTTTATATTGGAACTTTCGGATCTAGGGATTTTTATGATTCAAGAATTGTTGAAAGTAAGAGTTTACCAGTCTAAGTATTTTTGAACCTGGAAATTTTGAAAGCTTTGTATTTTTGAGTCTAGGGATTTTGAGATCTAGGGACTATTCTATGAACTTTGTCTTGGAATTTGAAGAACGTATGATTGTTTCATATATCACTCAGTGTTTAGCACACTAGTTACAAAGTCCACCAGTATTCATAACAACACCTATAAAAGTGGCCATATAACGAGAGCCCTGCTACATATTATCTTAAACATATTCAAATAAGCCTTCATTATGAAATCAGAAATTCTGCACTCATATAAAATAAATTTGAATGTTATTCGTGTTAGTTAATTATTCTTATAAAAAAAAATAAAAAATAAGTAAACAAAGTTTGATATTAAGTATACCAGTCAGCACCATCGTTTAAAAATAAAGTTCTCGCCATATCACTAAAAACTCTTCAGAATTCTAAACCACGTGCAAAATTCGTAAAAAATATACGATAAGCGTGCAAGATATGCAAAGTAGCTCGTTTCCTCTTCCACGCCGTTTCTGTTTCAAACTTGCTCATCTAAAGTTTCGCGGAACGTAGCGGAGCTTCTCTCGGTTTGTCCTATTTCGCTGATTCTTCAGAATCGAAGCTGACGTCGAGCCCATGAATCTTGAAGGAAATATAGAGTCCGAGAGGATAGAAAGTCCTGGACAGGTTGGTACTGCTGGCGTGTATTAATGTTAACGGAAGTATCGTTTATCTTTCATGGTCTGGATCCTTCAACTTGAAATAGTTCGATTCGGAAAGTAACTGCTACGGCTTTCTCTGATCTGCATCGATGATTCACCGAGTTACGAATCGATCGGGAAAATGCGTTTGATAATCGATAGGTGAATTGCGCGGAGACTTTCCAATACTTTCTTTTGTGGATACGTGGTGATCACAATTTTATTGTAATCAAAGTTTTTTTAGTTTTGTGGATGGTGTGATTAGTGAGAATTTGGGAAATTTTGGGATTTGGAATTTTTGGAATTTGGGATTTTTGGAATTGGGATTTTCGGAATTTGGGATTTGTGGAAATTGGGATTTTTGGAATTTGGGATTTTTAGAATTTGGAATTTTTGGAATTGGAAATTGTGGAATTGGGGATTTTTGGAATAGGAAATTGTGGAATTGGGAATTTTTGGGATCTGGGATTTTTGGAATTGGAAATTGTGGAATTGGGGATTTTTGGAATTGGAAATTGTGGAATTGGGGATTTTTGGAATTTGGGATTTTTGGAATTGGAAATTGTGAAATTTGGAATTTTTGGAATTGGAAATTGTGGAATTGGAAATTTTTAGAATTTGGGATTTTTGGAATTTGGGATTTTTGGAATTTGGGATTTTTGGAATTTGGGATTTTTGGAATTTGGGATTTTTGGAATTTGGAATTTTTGGAATTTGGAATTTTTGGAATTTAGAATTTTGGAATTTGGGATTTTTGGAATTGGAAATTGGGGAATTTGGGATTTTTGGAATTGGAAATTGTGGAATTTGGGATTTTTGGAATTTGGAATTTTTGGAATTGGAAATTGTGGAATTTGGAATTTGAAATTTCAATATTTAGGGATTTAATAATTTTGAATTTTGAGAATACGTAATTCAGGAATTCAAAAATTTGAGAATTTTGAATTTCAGCAATTAAAATACAAAAATTTCCAATTTTAAAAAATACTTAATATAGTTTGTCTCACAACAACCTATCACTAATATTAAAATTATAAAATTGCAATCTACTGTCATCAAAGAATATCTCTAAACTATATCATTTTTTCCATCAAGTAGCAAGTAATTACTAAAAAAGACATTCTATAAAGAAGACGTTACGAATGCCACGTTTCACGGAAACTGCCCTTCGTTCGCGATTATTCACGGTTAATTATCGCACGTGTTAATTACCAGCATTGCGGTTACCGCGAGTGGGCGTGCATACGGGTTCTCGACTTTAGATATGATAAACAGCCATGACGGTCGGAAAAAAACGTCGCATAATAATTATTAGCTCACGAGCGTGTGCTGGCTCATTGCAGTCTGGACCTTGCGTCGCGAGCAACGAGTTACACCGGTGACTGGATCAAGTTCAATACTTGATAGCGGTTTTGTAACAACGTAATCGTATCTCGATTTAAGAAAAGCTCGTTTCAATCTTGTCTAACGGCGAGACAGTTTATTTAATAGATTGGAGTGATTTGTTGCACCTGCATGAAGCTGCGAGTGCTTCAAGTAATATTAATTCATTACATTCGTTAATTTATCAATGTCGACATTATTAATTTTAACGCGTTTGCTGTTACTTTTTTGTTCAATGCATTTCTCAGTTAATTATTCTTCTTCAGTTAATTATTTCTTCTTTGTTAATTATTCTTTTACAACTTCATTAGATTATTGTACTGCTACTCTATTATGTCATTAGACCATCACACTAGTGTTCTATCCTAATCGCTAATTAAAAGAAATATTGTCTCCAACACACCAGAATAAAGGATCCCCAGTGCGTATCAATTTTTCTTAAAAAAAAAACTCCTAGTTCATTAGACTTATTTGGGATTTTTGGAATTGGGGATTGTTGGAATTGGAAATTGTGGAATTGGGGATTTTTGGAATTGGAAATTGTGGAATTGGGGATTTTTGGAATTGGAAATTGTGGAATTGGGGATTTTTGGAATTTGGAATTTTTGGAATTGGAAATTTTGGAATTGGGGATTTTTGGAATTGGAAATTGTGGAATTGGGGATTTTTGGAATTTGGGATTTTTGGAGTTGGAAATTTGGAATTGGAATTTGTGGAATTGGGGATTTTAGAATTTGGGATTTTTGGAATTGGAAATTGTGGAATTGGAAATTTTGGAATTGGGGATTTTTGAAATTGGAAATTGTGGAATTGGGGATTTTTGGAATTGGAAATTGTGGAATTGGGGATTTTTGGAATTTGAAATTTTTAGAATCTGGAATTTTTGGAATTGGAAATTGTGGAATTTGGGATTTTTTGAATTGGAAATTGTGGAATTGGGGATTTTTGGAATTCGGAATTTTTGGAATCTGGGATTTTTGAAATTGGAAATTCCTAACCTAACCATAAGACTCATAAAATCCCCAAAATAATTCTGAAAAGACGTAAGAAGATTTGACCCCTAACAGTCCAGCAAACCACAAAGAAGTTGGACACCAGATTGTTTCTCTCGTCATCGATCAGTTTCTAAACTCGTCCATTGCAACTTTTATGAATCTGTCCGTGTCACGGACGGTCCGCTTGTTTTCTTTGTCGTAAAACATTTCCAGGCGACAACGTCTGGAATTTTTCGAGATCCTTGCGTCCCATTTCCAGAGCCTTACAAGGCAACCCGAGTAATCGCTCGTAAATTTTCTTTTGGCGACGGAATTCGATCTTTTTTTTTCCTTTTCGCTTTT